AACAGGCTGGTGCCCCCCCAGGGGAGAGCAGCTGTTCCAAACTGCCCCCCATACCTGCGCCTCTCCCCCCTGCCTCTCTCGTCTCCCTCTGCCCTGACATGGAAGCCCAGGCGCCAAGCCTCCTCTTTGGACTTTATCCTCGGCTCCCTCCCCGGCAGCGACCAGCAGCTGGGGGAGGGGCCCACTCCGCCTGGCTGGGGAGGGGGGAAGTTTGCGGAAAAGCACATCTACATTGGCCACGGACGCTTTTCCGGAAAAAGTGCTTTTCCGGAAAAGCATCCTGCCAATGTAGACGCGCTTTTTCCGGAAATACTTATAACGGAAAACTGTTCCGTTTTAAACATTTCCGGAAAAGGGTGCCAGTGTAGACGTAGCCCAGTTATACTACAGAGAACAACCACAGGGGGCAGGAAGGGAGCTTGTCTTTGGAAACCTTTCTGCAGGGAAAAGGGACATTTCTGTGCCTTGCGGCTCCAAGGGCTCTCTGCAGCCGGCAGCACTTGGAGCAGGGGAGAGCTCTAACCAGTGCAGAGTTGGGTGGGATTTGACAGGTCCCTTCAAAAATGCATCAGATTCTTCCTCACCCCCTGAGAAAGGCCTTTAAAAATGACCCGAAATAACCCAAAGCAAGAACCACTGGTCAAATGAGGCCTGGCTGGCTTGTGGCTCCGGCCCCATTGTGGAAGGATTGTTGAAACTGTGCTGAGTTATACCCACTGAGCCCTGTGTGGCAAGCAGGTGTGTAAGTCAGGGCAGAGAAAAGCCTGGTGTGTGGATAGAATTCCTCACTCAGCCGCCCATCCCAGGTGCCTCTTGGCTTTTCAGGCTTAGAAGGAAACTCAAAGGTCCTTGGGGAGGTAATAGCCTAGAGCCAGGGCAGGCAAGGGCCTGGAGGAGGGCTGGACTCAGCCATTAGTTTCAGCTCATTTCTTGTTTGCCATTCAAACAGATCTGGGGTCCTGGCTGACATCCCAGCCATCCTGCAGAATGCTTCCCTGGGGCCTTTTGCCATGTACCCGGAGGTATCTCACTGCCAAGCCCCTGTCCTAGGAGGGGAGTGGGCTGAAGTGTGATTTCCCACCATCATGCAGCCAGGGGCCTGAACTCTCAGCTGCCGTGCTGGCTGGAGCCTCCACATTTACTTACTGACAATAGAATTTGCAACATGTTAAAATCTTGTGCACAGAATATTTCATTTGTTGGTGCGGAGTGCCCTTAGGAGTATAGGGTGTTGGGCAGTTGTGGGGAGGCTAGGAGAGGGGTGCTGGGCAGTGGGGGAGGTCTGGGTGAAAGGCCACTGGGCATGGGGGTTACTGGGCTTAAGGTTGTCATCTTACACAGTCATGGACAAACAGGATTATGAATTCGTTTCAACACAGAGTCAATTAGGGATAGTTGCTTTTATTAATTTTTCTACATCACTACTATTACAGGGTTAATACTGCCAAATGGTTACACAGCTACTGCAAAGTGACACATCAATAAGTGGAGGCAGAGCAATGCATAAAGGAGTCACAGGCACTTAGAAATGCTTATATCCCTTCAGTCTGCAGGGAGGTCCATCCCTGTCACCTCGCACCAGGGCCACAGTGGACGTGGCTCTAGCCGAGGGAAATCAGGACAGTCTTGAGGTTGCGGTCCTGAGCAAAACTCACCAGGGGCGGGATTCCCAGTGATCTTATACATTAGGGCTGCGTCTAGACTGGCAAGATTTTCCACAAAAGCAGCTGCTTTTGCAGAAAAACTTGCCAGCTGTCTACACTGGCCGCTTGAATTTCCGCAAGAACACTGATGATCTCATGTAAGAAATCAGTGCTTCTTGCGGAAATACTATGCTGTTCCCGTTCGGGCAAAAGTCCTTTTGCACAAAGCCTTTGCGCAAAAGGGCCAGTGTAGACAGCTCAGATTTGTTTTGTGCAAAAAAGCCCCGATGGCAAAAATGGCGATAGGGGCTTTTTTGCGCAAAACCGCGTCTAGATTGGCACGGACGCTTTTCCACAAAAAGTGCTTTTGCGGAAAAGCGTCTGTGCCAATCTAGACGCTCTTTTCTGCAAATGCTTTTAACGGAAAAGTTTTCCGTTAAAAGCATTTGCGGAAAATCATGCCCGTCTAGACGTAGCCTAGCTGTTTACCGAGTGTGCGCACATTGGCTCAGTGTCACTCTCAACATTCCCACGGAGCTGAGAATTGAGGTCATGTTATTTATCCCATACTTGGTTCTCAGCTAGGAAGCATAGGGCTGCGGCTGATGAAGGCCGACTGATAAAGAACACCTGGGTTATGTCTACACTCGCGGTTTCTTGCACGAGTAATATGCAAATGAGGCTAAGCGTGGAATATCGCCGAGCCTCATTTGTATACCTAATGAGCCACCATTTTTTTCAGAAGAGGCTCTTACGCAAGAAGGAGTATCTTCCTGAAAAGTAATAGGTGTAACGGCATTGCACAAGAGGGGTTTTTTGCGCAAGAAGGGGCAGTGTAGACACTCCTTCTTGCACAAGAGCCTCTTCTGAAAAAAATGGTGGCTCATTAGGTATGCAAATGAGGCTTGGCGATATTCCATGCTTAGCCTTATTTGCATATTACTCGTGCAAGAAGCCACGAGTGTAGACGTAGCCCTGGTGTTTTTGCCAGCAGGGTTCATGGCTGGCCTAGAGGAATAGAAATGTAACCCCTGCAGGCCTACATAAGGCTTACACTATAAAGGGGTTGGGTGATAATGGGCAGGAAGGCAGTGTGGTAGTCTCGCAGGGCTGGGGCTGGGGAGCAGTTGGGAGGGAAGTGCAGAGGCTGGGGTGGTGGTGGCAAAACGTGAGGGTTGCACGCAGGGGGCACAGCGTAGGAATTAGGGGGCAGGAGTTAATGGTGATGGGGGTCCAGGAATGGGGGAGTCCATGGAGGCTAACGGAAATGGGAGGCACCATGCGCAGTGGTGCTAAAATGCAAGTTTGCCCTGGGCACCATTCCCCCTATGGCTAGCCCTGTACAGCAGTGTTTCTCAAACTGTGCTCCGCAGAGCCCCGGGGCTCCACGACACATCTCCAGGGGCTCCACGAGGTTGACAAACTGGAAACTTCAATAGGTACAACACATACAATCAGTGGACCGCTGGGGCACCGCATACATTTTTACACATGTAAAGGGCTCCGGAGCCCAAAAAGTTTGAGAACCGCTGCTGTACAGCATGCTCAATACAAACCAAGCTGCAAACGGGGGGGGGATTGACCCTGTCTGTCCCCACTCACACATATCAGCTCTTTCCGGGGGCTACTAAGGCACTTAAAAACTCTAGGTTTTTGGCAGATAACTTATAGAAATTGGGGGACAGGAGCTCCGTATCTAATCTACTATGTATTTGAGAGACTCTTTCTGTCTGTCTCTCCATCTGTCTGTCTGTTTTTTCAAGAACTCCTCCTAAATAGGAAGCAATGACCGCCAAATTTGGTATGCAGTTTCCTCTTACCATAACTTAAAGCAACAAAAGGGTTTGGTTGTGCCCTGAAAATGGGATGTTCCTAGAATGGGATTGCTTCTCATAAACCACAGAGAATAGAGAATTAGCATCAGGTGAAAGGGACAGGTTGGGGGGTGCCCCCCACCCATCTGGGACTGCCTCAGCCCAAGCCTCCCACCTCCCAGGTGCCCATTATGGAGGGTGGGGAACTGACACTCCTTCTCCTCCCCCCAGTTTGTACAGGGACATTGCTGGCTCTTCCCCTTTATCAGTTTGCTGCATTACTCACTGGCTGTGGTGCACAGGGGACAGAGGAGCTGTGCACTTTGCTTTCATTCCCAGACAGGGACAGGAAAGGGAAGAGCATGCAGCCCTGGTATGAATCTCAAGGAGGAACTTTTCTCCCCCTCCCTGCACTCACCTGTCCAGAACCTCTCCTCCCCTCCAGCCCTTACTCCTGCACCCCCCCCACACACACCTCCTGCCCTCAGCCCATATACAGCCCCAATCCTGACTCCTGCACCCCCACACACCCTTCTGCCCTGAGTCCCTCCTCACTCCCCAGCTCTGACTCCTGCACCTCCCTCCCCACAAACCAAGTCCTCTGCCCTGAGCCCCTGTGAACCAAGATGAGCCAGAAAAATAGGATGAACCTGGAATAGGATTGCTTCTCAATCTTGTTATCTTACATTAAACACAGAGAAATGTACTAAGTATACTTTCCCATTTTAAGTGAAAAAAATTACAAAGTATAACATTCACTTACAGATATTTTTGCAAAATGCCTAAACATAAAAGACCGCTCTTGGATCCAAGTAGATCACATTCAAAAAGAATGGCACAATTAAGAGTTCTTGAAACTACAAGACAGAGACAAGATCGCCTGGAATCACAGAGACACAGACAGGCAGCTCTGAGAGCAAATGAAAATGAAGAACAAAGAGAAACTCGACTTCACAGAGACAGAACAAGACAGTCAAGAGCTCGAGCAAATGAAAGTGAGGAACACAGAGAAATCCGACTTCAAAGACACAGAACAAGACAGTCAAGAGCTCGAGCAAATGAAAGTGAGGCGCATAGAGAAACCCGACTTCAAAGAGACAGAACAAGAAAGTCAATAGCACGAGCAAACGAAAGTGAGGAGCACAGAAAAATTCGACTTCAGCGAGACAGAATAAGAAAATCAATAACTCGGGCAAGCAAAAGTGAGAAGACAGAAACTCAAATATTGTCTACCAACAGGCTCTATCTAATATTTGAATCACTTTCATTATTTTATTAATATGATTTTTTTCTTCCTTAATTTTTGAAACATATAATCATTTAAATAAAGTATGTACATTTTCCTTTTATTTTAAAAAACAATTGAGTTAAGGACCCGAGCAACACCAGGTACATCTGCTAGTTCATATATAAAAGAAAGAAAATTAAATGAAATATTAGACCCACAGTTCTAATGCTATCATATTCTCAGATCTTGTGGTAAGTCACTTAAGGGACACTGGTTAGCCTTAAAATTGTAATGTATACTCTTACTTTGTCACTAACTCTGCAGAGAAAGAGAGAGATTGTCAAAACTTCTGGGCTCTTTCTCAGCTCTGGAAGAGGAATGGGTTTTAGTGGGTTACAGCAGGAGACAGATACATGTGGGCTCTATATAAAAACATCAGAATGGCCACACTGGGACAGACCAATGGTCCTTCTAGCCCAGTATCCTGTCTTCCAACAGTGGCCAATATCAGGTGCTTCAGAAGCTAGGGACACCATCCCTGCCCATCCTGGCTTGTAGCTGTTGATGGACCTAACCTAATCCTAGGTTCCACAGGTTGACTGTGAAGAAATAATGTATTTGTTTTAATTCTGCTGCCTATAAATGTCATTGGGTGAGCTTCTTGTGTTATGTTAGTGAAGGAGTATATAACATTTCCTTATTCTGTTTTTCCACACCAGTTATGATTTTCTAGCTCTAACATATCCCTCCATTCCTTTAGTCATTTTTTTCCACGCTGAAAAGTCCCAGTCATGTTAATCTCTCCTCATATGGAAGCTGTTCTTTACCCCTAATCATTTCTGTTGCCCTTTCTGTACCTTTTCCAAATCCAATATGTCTTTTTTTAGAAGATGATCAGATCTGTATGTAGTATTCAAGATTTGGACATACATTGACTTTATATAGCAGCTATATGGTATTTTCTGTCTTATTGTCTATTCCTTTCTTAATGATTCCCAATATTCTGTTTGCTTTTTAGATTGCCACTGCACATTGAGCAGATGTTTTCAGGGAACTATCCACAGTGATTCCAGGATCTCTTTCTTGAGGGGTAACAGCTATTTTAGACCCCCATCATTTTTGTATGTATTGTGGGGATTATATTTTTCAATGTGCCTTACTTTGCATTTATCAATACTGAATTCTATCTGCACTTGTGTTGCCCTATCACCCAGTTTTGTGAGATCCCTTTGTAACTCTTTGCAGGCTGCTTTGGACTTCAATATTTGAATAATTTTGTATTATTTGCAATTTCGCCACCTCACTGTTTACTCTGTTTTCAAGACCATTTATAAATAAGTTGAACAGCTCTGCTCTATTCAGACCCTGGGAGCACAACACTATTTATTCCTCCTTTTTTTGGCCTGTCTTTTATTTGGAGTACCCAGCAATGTTTTCATGATCACTTAATGATCTTTCAATTACTTAAATGACCAGCCTTTTGTTATCTTAATCACCCTGCCTCAGTCTGTATGTAAAAAAAAACCTCCCTACCCCAAAGGCAAAGCTGGGAGCAGCACAAACTCTGTTGCAACTCTGATGTAGAGCTTTAAGTAAATCTCAAGTAAGAAATCCAGGGGTTTAAACTGGGGGGTCAGCTACAGACCATCCTAATCCCCTATCAGTGGCACCCTTGCTGCCCATGTACCTTTTCATGTAATCGACTCCCCAGTTTGCCTTGTATTGCTCTGTCATTCCAGATCCTACCGCTCCTACTGAGTTCTCTAGGACTGTTTTCCCAGAGAGGCAGTGGGGGCCATGTATTTATGGAGATAAACACTGAGTGACTGTGATCAGTTTGGGGACAATTAGAACCAGAGTTTCACTCCCACCTGTGTGCAAACAAACTTTCAAGAGTAAAATGATTTTGTAGAAAGCTGCATATGGTGTGTGAGTGAGCTATAGCTTAGCAACCTGTTGAACAACAGAGCTGTGGTCAAACTGATAAAAACTTCTTTGTGACCCGTGTCCCATGAATTCCCATGATCCCCCTTGTTTTCTATCTCCTGATCAGGGTTTCCAGTTCCCAAGCCTGATGTGATCTCCCAGCTGGAACGAGGGGAGGAGCTGTGGGTCCCAGAGCTCCAGGGCTCCTTGGACAGACAGATCCCAAGAGGTGCCTGTGCAGGTGAGGGATCATTACACCAACTCAAAAACTCTCAGTGCACTGAAGGACACACCTGGGACTCCCTGAACAGGCCATGTGAGCTCTTGGGCTGTCTACACCGGCGGCTTCTTGCGCAACAACATCTTGCGCAAGGGTTCTTCTGAAAGAATGCTTGCGTAAGAAAACGTCCACACTGCCATGTGTGACCTGTGCTTTTGCGCAAGAGCATCCATGGTAGTGTGGACGCTGTCTTGCGCAAGAAAGCTCTGATGGCCATTTTAGCCATAGGGCTTTCTTGCACAAGAAATCCCTGCTGAGCGTCCACACTGCCCTCTTGCGCAAGAGCTCCTGCACAAGAGAGCTTACACCTGTTAAAAAAGAGCATAGCTCTTGCGCAAGAAGCCCTCTCTTACCTCGCCATACTGTAAATCTTCTTGTGCAAGAGCAGGTGGGCAGTGTGGAAGAATGGCCATTCTTGCGCAATAACCTGCCAGTGTAGACATAGCCTTGGAGTTCCGGAGAGTCCCCAGGAGGCCTGGTAGCCACAAGGAAGCTATGGCTCTTGGCTTCTGACCCATTCTGACACCAGGCAGCCGCTCTCTCCCTGCTGGGATGTGGAGGCAGAATTATCCCCCACCTCTCTGCCTTATGGCGATGAGGTTAGCAGAATTCAGCTACCATATTTTTTGTCCCTCCTGCTTGAATTTGATTTATTCTCCCCTCCCTTCCCATTTCTGAGGTTTTTCTCTCTGTCCAGCAGGTGCTGGGATGGGGGGTGAGAACCAGGAGCTGAATCCTCAGCTGGAAGATGCCGAGCGAGTGGAACCACATGGGGGATTAGCACAAGGCACCAAAGGGAATGTGACCAGGCATCATGTGCAGGGGGCAGCTTGTGAGAGTCAGCACAGCCCAGAGAAGGAGCAGGGAAACCAGGCCAGTGGGGAAGTGGCCATATACATTAATAGTGAGGGAACTTATGAGGACCTCAAGGAATCTGCAGCGTAGGAGAGAATACCTACCAGAGAGAGGAAAAAACACATGCATAGAGTGTGGGGAAAATGTCACTCAGATGTCCTTTCTCATCAGACATCAGAGGATTTCCATGGGAAAGGGACCCTACACATGCAGTGAGTGCAGGAAAGAGTTTATGGAGAATTCAAAACTTATTGAACACCAGCAAATCCACGCAAAGGAGAGACCTATGTGTGCTGTGAGTGTGGGAAAAGTTTCACTCGGTGCTCCTCTCTCCTTAGACATCAAAGGATCCACACAGTGTTGAAACTCTGAATGTCACGAGTGCAAGAAAAGCTTCCCTTTCAAACCAGACCTAAGAAATCATCAGCCTTCCTACAAATGCTGCGTGGGTGGGGAACATTTCATTGAGGAACCAGATCTTGTCTCATCTCAGACAGGTCACACAGGAGAGAGACCTCATGAATGCTGTGAGTGTGGGAAATAGTTCAGGCAGAGGTCATCCCCTATCATATAATCCGCACCAGAGAGCGACCCCATGAATGCAGTGAGTGCGGGAAAACCTTCACCCAGAGCTCAGGCCTCATTCATCATCAGAGAATGCACACAGGAGAGCGACCCTAAATCTGCTTTGCGTGTGGGAAAATGTTCACTCAGAACTCAGGTCTTATTAAATATCAGAAAAATCCACACAAGAGAGATAGTAATAGAAATGTAGCCGTGTTAGTCTGGTGTAGCTGAAGCAAAATATAGGACTATGTAGCACTTTAAAGACTAACAAGATGGTTTATTAGATGATGAGCTTTCGTGGGCCAGACCCACTTCCTCAGATCAAGCAGTGGAAGAAAAGTCACAACCATATATACCAAAGGATACAATTTAAAAAAATGAACGCATATGAAAAGGACAAATCAAATTTCAGAACAGAGGGGGAATGGGGGGAGGGAATGTTTGTGGGCTAATGGTATTAGAGGTGATAATTGGGGAAGCTATCTTTGTAATGGGTAAGATAACTAGATCCTTTGTTTAAACTCAGATGTAGAGTGTTTTAGCATGCTAAAATTCAACACTCTACATCTGAGTTTAAACAAAGGATCTAGTTATCAAAAATTTAATCGCTCACCCAACTATGATTAAGTTTGTTAAACAAATTTTTTGCAATGGTAGAAAAAAAA